TTTTTTTTTACCTATTTATTTTGAGCCTATTTGTCTAAATAAGCTGTTCATAATGGGCGTTGGGTTTGTTGAATAGGCTGAGTAAAGAGCTTACAAACTGATTTGGATCTTTAGGCCCAAACATAAATAGTACTACAAACCCACCTAATGTAGGCCCCTTTTGGGTGCTTCAGAGATAAGGGTGACCCATTAATCAAATTTTATTATGAAAAATGCTCCGGATCCCACTTAGGCTGACCCCCACCCACCCCCAGCTGATGTGGAAAGTCACGTGATATGCACATGTGTCATAGACCCCACACTTTGAATTAAAAATCTTCCCCAAACATAGATAGGTCTCTCTGCCTCTTTCTCCTTTCCCTTGACTTCGACGATTGAAGTTGCAATAGCTCCTTCCATTTACTCCGACACCCGACTCGCTCCTTCCCTTGACTCCGATGCCAGACTCCCGACTCTCTCTGTCTCTCTTTCTCTCTCATCCGACCAAGGACGATTAAGAGGATCACTTTCCAACGGGACTATATAACTGCTTGAACCCACAAATTCCAGGACTATTTCCCCATTCCAATGTAAAAGGGGATGAATTGTCCCAAGGATTTGGAACCAAACCTGCTTCTATACTACTAACATCATCCTCCAATTCCTTGTATTGCTTCATCACATCCCTCACCGTCTTCCTCGGAATCATGGCTACCACTCTTTGTTACCGATTCGACGTCTCCTTATCGTACACCGCTAGAGCATTCTCAAACAACTTGTCTTAAATCAAGAAGCATTAGAAAGGAATCAGAATACCTTTTTTTTTTTTCTTTTTCTTTTTCTTTTTCTTTTTTTTGCAATAGCCAAACCCCCCCTCCTATTCTTAAGGAATCCAAAAAAGACTCACTTTTCCAAAATCAGAGAAAATATCCAAACATAGTAATTAATTTAAAGAAAAAGTGTAGAATTAAAAACTATTGCCCTCCTCTAAGATAAAAACCCTAGAACTTCTCCCCACAAAGATCTGAACCTAGTAAACTTTCTAGGAAAATAAAAAAGAAAATCCCAGAAAAGTGAAATAGAGATTTCTATAATTGAAATACAGCAGGGGTATAATAAGTGACAACTTTAACACTGTAACACAGTTTGTTTTCTTCAGCTTCAACCTCTTGATTTCCCAATTAGGAAAGAGAGAAGCTAAGAAAACATGAGAGAGAGTAAATAGTACATGTAGAGAAACAACCCAGAAGCTGGAAATGGAAACCACCAAGTGAGAAAGCGGGGGAGGAGGGATTCTGGATTATAAGGAATTGGGGATTGTGAGAAAAAAAAGGTGGGAAAGTCAGGTGATTTCTCTCTCTCTCTCTCTCTCTCTCTGAGCAAGAAAAGAAAAGAAGAAAAAAAAGAGAAGAAAGCTTAAAAGAGATGTGGTGAGAATGGAAAAACAAATCAGCAAGCTTCAAGGAATGAATCTAAAATTGTTAAAATCTTTGAGAGGGGCGCACACAGAAAAGTGAGACAAAGAGAGATCCACGGTGGAGGAGGAGAATGGCGGAGAGCTATATCCATATATTTTTTTTCACAGCTGCGTCCAACTGCCAGCTCAGTGGGGTCCTGGGTGTCATGTTTCATTGGGGTTTGTAACGGGACTGTTTTATTATTACCCAACACTATTAAAATGTAAGATTTTTTATCAGTCAGTCCCAATAATTGAATCTATTAGAGCATCTCCAACGGTGACTCAAATTTTTCACCAAATCTGAATAAAAAATGACCCATTTTCACCCAATTTGATACCACTCGCTCCAACGGTTCACCTTTCACCAAATCTATCCCGGAACAACCGGGTGGTTGACCGGCCGGTTGACCGGTTAGGCAAAAAATTTTTTTTTTTTTTTCGCGAATTGTCTGAACTTTTTTTTGAACTTTCTGAACTTTTTTCGGGACGACCGGGTGGTCGACCGGCCGGTCAACCGACCGGTTGATCGGTTAGGCAAAATTATTATTATTATTTTTTTAAACGATTTGAACTTTTTTTCCTGAACTGTTTGAATCTTTACTGGTTGACCGGGTGGTCACCCGGCCGGGCAACCGGCTGGTTGACCGGTGTACCTCTTTTAAACGGTCAGTAACAGTGATTTGATAAAATCTGTGTCTCGTTCTCAGTTTGATGCTTTTTTTGCTGAAATCTCATTTTGATATCAATCTGGTACAACGGTTGGAGCTCAAAAAAGTGACTTTTTCATCAAATTTTGAATTTGATACCAGGTTTGATGAACCGTTGGAGATGGTCTTACCTATTAGGTCCTAAGCTTTTATTTCATGCACCATGAAATAATGTTGTATTTTTTTATTCTGATTTTACCCTTACTGTTATGAATTATTTAGTTCTATTTTTTTCTCTCTCCCCTGAAGGATCTGGGTTCAATTTCTCGTCGCCGAGTTCGATCTTTCGGTGGCCGACACTCTTGTCTTCGTATTTCACGCCGACAGTCTAAACCTCTCAAGATTATCACCTTTGGCTTGGCGGCCGAATCTCAATTTCTTGATCGTCAACGCTCTAATGGAAGTGTACCCGACAACTGAAGCTAATGTGTCCACATAGTCCACTGCCTCTTTTTGGGATAACCCTCTTGCCACGCCTTGAACTTCTCAACGCTGCCTCTGCTGCATGCTTGATTTTGTAAACTTCTCAGTGGTTTTGAAACTTCTTCTGAGGCCTTGTTGAATTTTTTTTTTTTTTTTTTGAAATTGTTTCGATTGTAATGAAATTTAATGAGCCTTTTACCGATGCTTTGCTAATCAATTTTGTCTGACTATTAATTTATCACTGTTTAAATTAGTGATAAATTTATTTAAACTAATGATAAATCAGTGATAAATTTGTTTAAATCAGTGATAAACCAGTGATAAATTTATTTAAACTAGTGATAAATCAGTCATAAATTTGTTTAAACCAGTGATACATTTGCAGTGTTAAGTCTAGGGGTAAAAATGAAAAACACTGTTTGATTTTTTTGAATAGGACCTGCTAGGTAATAAGACCGGTCCATAGGACCGGCCCGTAACTCTCCCTAAAATGTATGTATATTTTAATCCAAACATGTGAATCCACCAGTGGCACCTACCACGCATTTTATTTTAATAATTCAAATTATCTATTTTATAGAGTCATTTATATATATATGTATATATATATATATGTATGCAACCAAAAAAAAATTGATTGATACAATAATTGTAGCATGTTCAATATATCACGCTTGTAACTAAAATACTGAATAATTTATTTTCAAAAACACACTTGCCGTACTTTCTTTTGTGACACAAATACAATGAATTAAATAGGATTGAACTAATTTTTTTCGTTAATGTTATATGCGGAATGCCCTGTAAAATGAACGATTCTCCATAAACTCAAACAATCCTCTCTTATCCAAAATCTAGAGTAGAGTGAAGCTAGACCCTTTCTTTTTTGAACAAATGCATAGAGATCCAATTGTGTATAATAATTATAATGATAGCTTTGTTTATAGTTCCTTAATTAAGCTCATTTAAACAATTGAATTAGTTCAATTAACTATTCATATATGTTTTGGTGGTGGTAGAGAAAGGATAGAGAAGGATTAGAGTGTCGAGAAGAATTTTGCAGTGGCAACGGCCAACAAAGAGGGACTAAGAAATGGTAGGGAGTAACGATAGTGGTGGGAAAGATGAAGAACTATTGGGGTGGCTGGACGAGTTTTGCAGTGGCAGTGATGGTTTGATGGTCAAAATTGTGGGGGCTGTTGTGGAGGTCGAAGGTAGAGGGAGAGAGATGGTGGCTATGGCCATGGACAAGGGGATTGGCTGTTAGATATTTATGAGTGAAATCAAGATCAAATCCCCAAAATAAACTCCCCTGCCATCAGTTTGAACCACTTAACAAAAATGAGTTACCATGTCATCTATAAAACATTTCATTACGTGATTGATTTAAAACACTACATATAAACAATGTCCACATAGTTGCTCTAGGAATAATTACCAATCCCAAACCTGGCTAGCAATGTCATCAATACCATGAGAATGAAAATAACTCTGGTTATTTATAAGTGTGGTGCAAGTAGGGGCTGCTTTGGGTACAGTTTTGGAGTATTAGAGTTTCATTTGTGGAAAATTAGTTGAGTTCAAGCTCGATTCATTATCTAAAGAACTTATAGGTCAAGTCAAGTTGATTATATAAGTGAGCCGAGAATCTGTAAAATAAAAAAATAAACATAAAAAGCCTTGAAATTCACACTTTCTGCCATTTTTCTCATCTTAATGACAATCTATTAGGTTGTTATTACCATAACTCTTTCAAAATTTATAAGATTACATTTTTTCTTGAAGGGATGAATGTACTAGTCTTTCTACTGTTACTCTCCTCTTCCTTTTCTTTGCTATTCCTTTTTCTGATCATTGGCCATTTCAATTTTGAACATTTAATTGGCTTTTTCTCCTTATCTTTTTCTCTTTCTAGTCTTTTTAAAATTTTGACCGTCAATAATTTTTTCTCTCATGTCTTTTTGTTGTTGGGGATGGGTAGGTGGTGTAATGGGGTTAGTGGTACTTGTGAGGCTGAGAGGGGGAAGAGATAAGGTTTGCCGTGCGAAGATGAGAGGTAGGAAGGGATGGAAGGTGGTAACTTGGGGTAAGGGTGGGTAGAGAGGAAGAGGTAGAAGCCCACAGTGGGGGTGATGGTATTTTTGTCATTTACTTAAAAGCTATCAGGGCTTTATGTCTACATACATAAAATAAGAGAAAAAGAAAAATTAAACAAAATAATTTGATGACCTTAAAAGAGAGGTTAGTGTCATTTCAAAAATAAAGACTGAGAGGTTAGTGTCAAAAGTGAAAAAGAGAGGTCAACAGTCAACTAACAGAAGGGAGAAGTGAAATTAAAAGAGAGGTTAAGTGTCATTTCAAAAATAAAGACATCCCAAGTCAATCACCCTACTAACCAAATTAAAACCTGAAAGTCATTAATTAATAAAGAATAAAGAGAACGGAGTGAACTTTATTTTCAATATCCCTCTGCTAACATAGATGGCTCTTATACATTTTAAATTTCCAACAAATGTAGCCATCAAATAACATAAACAAGAAGCAAGTCATAATTGTGAAGCATTTCTACCTTCTTTTTTTCCAAATTATGAAGAGACTGAACAATTAAACCATCACTAGAACTCTAGACTCACATCTACAGCGTATAACTAATTCTACATGAAAACTGGCCACTACACTGGATTTATACCTAGCAACTGAATCAATGAGTGAATACAAATTAAAATGACTAGCTATAGGTTTCCGTACTAACCTGAATCATTGTATCTTATACCTAGCAACTGAATCAATGAGTGAATACAAATTAAAATGACTAGCTATAGGTTTCCATACTAACCTGAATCATTGTATCTGATGCTCTTGCAGTATCCAAGCCCCAAATAAACAATCTGGGAAGTATAGAGGTGGTACCCAGTTCATCACCAAGTCCAGCCAAACATCAGAATTCCGTGTCATAAAGAAAATTCTCCAAATCCAATAAATACATAGTCAATATACACAAGACAACCAACTGATAACGAATTGGTCAGTCATGTAACAGTAGGGGAGGAATCATTTTGATCTGTAACCCCATTGCTGAATTTCCCACTAGCCTGTCTGACTTTGAAACTACCAAATTTCACCGGCTTCAGCTGAAAAAGAGAGCTAAGCATTTTCTCCAAAGACTGCGCTGTGTACTTTGCATACTTGCTTCCACTCGCATCTTGTTCAACCAATGGCCCGTAATTCTGCATATAGCTCCGGTAAACAGGCACAATAGCCTGCGCAATAAGCTGGCATACCTTATCCCTCAGATCTTTCTCCACCACAACCCAATTCGACTGCTTTTTATACATTTCATCGAAAGCTTCGTTGAAAGCTTTAAGCCTTTTCTTCACAAGATCGCGAGCAGTAGCACGCCCACCTGAGAACAGGATCAGACCCTCTCGGCTTAGAAGGGAGGGAAGTTTTCCCCAACTGTCTCTCAAGTAGAAAGCAGAATAGTACTCCTTGTACTGTTCATGTTCTCTTAACCAAGAATCACCCAACAGACTCCCAAGCTTCGTTCCTTTCAAATGTTTGTACAGATGCCAGTGATTGTTCATCAAAAAAACATGCGATAATACAACATCGTCGTAAGCCTTTGCCCATGTCTCTAGATTCGTCTCAATGGCTTTAACTATATTCAATACTTCATCAATAACGAGCCTCTCTTGGAATTTCTCATGCTTCCAACTCCGGTGAATGACCAGAGCTTGAGTCAAGAGTGGCTTATAATCTTCCCCAAGTAGCTTATTACAGTAATTGGTGATAAAGCTCACCAGTCTTGGAACACTGCCATCTGAAGGAGGTGGTGTTTGTCTCTGCAATTCAACTTGCAACGAAAGTTCCCAGAAGATTTCACAAGCCCCTTCGATCACACTCTTGATGAGATCCCTCGTCAAATTTTGGATTTCAGCACAAGCTGTCCCACCAAAAAGGCGGTTAAAATCCAATCTAAGTTTGTTCAAAGATGCAAATATATCCAACAGTTTCAGTAGCTTGATGGGATCTTTCTTACTCTCTGTAACAGTTTTCCCAAATTGAAGGAATGCAAGAATACCTGCCTGGGCAGCTATCTTAGCAAAGCAACCGATCCACACATCCAATCCCATCTTCTCAAATACATCATTACAAAGTTTGTACTCGGCTTCAAAAAGGTGCTTCACCGCAAACTCTAAATGCTTACCCCATTGAGCTATATACCCTTCCATGCTCTGAACATCATTGAATTCAGAGATTGACATCTCAAGGTAATCCAAATTGAGTGCATTCAAACTTGCCCTAACATTCGAACTGCGAACTTCAACATAGATAGATATGCAATTATCGAGCCTATTATTAGCAATTAATCTCCCAAGAATAGCCTGTAACTTATGAATCACAGCCACGGGTAACAGGGACGGTGCTATGCAGGCTTGTTCACCTAGTGAAGCCGATGACGCTGACATCGGCAATGGAACACTGTTCTCCGTCAAGAGCCGCCTAAACTCATTTTCCAATCTATCCAGCGCCGCTCCAAGAAGCCCTCCATCAAGGCAACCCCTTTCCTCATCCTGCAATTGGTGGAGATTCTTGAGCGCCTTTTTCAAATTTAAAATATACCCATCATCAGCAACCTTATTGTCCTCCAAGTACTCAACAATATCATCTAACCACTGAATTGCCATCCCACAATTATCGCCTAAAAACCTCAACGCCTCTTTGAGCCGTTTAAGCACAGAGAGATAACCTGGAAGATCAAATTGGGGATCTGAGAGCGACTTTTCAAGCCCATGAATGGCATCGAATACCTTAAGAACAGCGGCCCCAGGGACCACAGCACGGTTAATGTGACCCCCAACAGCAACAAGGGCTTCCCTTGGCGCTCGGATTGGTCGAACTGCGGATGCTAGAGATGGTAATCTATGGTTAATCTTATCCAATCTAGTCCCAGCTTGATCAAGAGCTAACCCTAGGGATTTCGATTTCTGTAAAATAGACTTTAATGACTTGCTAGCAGATATCAAATTGTCAACACCATTGTTATTCACTGAACCCATTTGGGAATCAAAACCCTAATCGTACAAATCAAAGAACTAACTTGAGAAACTAGAGAAATAGTACCAAGAAAGCATCTTTATTAATGGGTAAGGTCGTGTCTCTCTCTTGTATTCATCGAAGATCAGTCAGGGTTCTGATAGAAATGAACCTCCATTAATTTCAAACCAAACCAACAAAAAGTCAATCTACATCACAGAACTAGAGAGAGAGAGAGAGAGAGAGACTCACAGAGAATTGAAGTGTGAAAAGGCAGAGGAATTGATTCTGATAGAGACAAAGATGGAATGAAACTATACTAATTGCTGGTTCGATGCGATTCGGAGAGAGAAAGAGAGAAACCCAATTCTAAAACTCGGAAAGAAGGGTTTTTTTAACGAAACAGTGTGTGTGTTTTTTTTCGCTGTCTCCAACAAGTCTGTGCCAAATTGCATATTCAGTACAGTAATGTAATTATGTGTGTGTGTTGGACAGACTATCTGCAATTTATAATTACGGAAAAAAATGATATTTATATTTTTTAAATTATAATTAATAAAAAAAAATTATAATTAAACATAAAAAATTATAGTAATTAAATATCTTTAAATAATTTTATAATTAAAGATAAAAACTAATTAAATTAAAAAAACGACATAACTAAAAATATATATGATAAGTGAGTATGTATGATAGAATTCTCCGTATATGTAAGTGCATTATTCTAGTGAAAATTATATAAATGAAGTCTTTGCTTTACTATATATTTTATTTTAGTTAAATTTTTAAGTTGTTTTTTTTATAGGTCATTAGTGGATTGCATACGTAATTCGCATGCAATTTTAAAAAATGTGATAGTATAACAATGATGATTTTAAAAAAAAAAATGTACATATAATATTTGTTGCTCAAGTGATAAAGGTTTGTTTTGTCAAACTCATGATCTTAGTTTCAAGCCTTGTATTTTTCTCTTTTTACATGAACATCAATTATAGGGGTATTTTAAAAAAATCCAAAATATGATACACAATGTGTTAACACCACTAACAACCTTCACTTTTTACTAGTAGTCCGCACACGCGATGTGTGTGCAATTCAAAAACAAATAATATTATAAGAATAATGACAAAAAAATAAAATAAATGTACACATATTATTTGTTGCTCAAGTAGTAAGCATGTTTTATCCAAACCAAAAACCTATGTGTCAAACTTTAGTTACCTCGTTATATAATTTTATACTTTTAAATAGGCTATAAGGTATTTTAAAAAAATTTAAAATGTAATAAAGTGTCATTTAAGACCGACAAAAAATTAAAATAGATTATTTTTAAATAGATTATTTTTAATGATAGTCTTTTAAGACCGACAAAAAATTAAAATAATTAGAATCTTAATATGTTTTACATGTAAATCGATAATAAAGGTTGTCATTGAATTTTTTTTTTCTTTTCTTAACCAAAATAAATAAATAAATAAATAAAAAACTAATAGGCCTAATATGAACTATGGGAGATTGGTGGACAAGGGACCAAATAGAGTCCAATTTGGGCCACATGGACTTGGGTTGTGCCAAAAATGGCTCTCTCAAGCTTGTGCGTTTTGTGCAAAAATAAGGCACTGGCTTGGTGGTTGAAGCATTTCCTTATCAGATATGATATTTTAGTGGGTGTTTGGGAAGTGAGTTTTTTTTGTATTCCTAGGTTTTTTTAGTTGTAGGATATTATTGGAGAAATTTTTTTTTGTGTTTGGAAAGATAGTTAGGTTTTCTAGTGGTTGGATGTAATGTTTGTGAAAGAAAAAGTGAAATGATTATAGCGCTTGATGTGATATTTTGTTTGAATTTGTTTTTTTTGATTTTGTAACCAATTTGTCTTTTAGTGAAAAAAAACAAAAAAAATCCTTCCCAAACACCCAAGTCTACAACAGGTAAAAAGGAATCTCTTTCATTGATGTATAAATTTGAGAGGTTATAGAAACTCAAGAGGTTTTATATCTCAATTGTTGTTAGTGATTTGACCCATGTTCGTTCTTGACCAACTATTAAAGGATGCAATTCTTGAAGGAAACCATCGAATTCTTGCATCCTTGAAAGAAAAGAGAGGATTATCAATTAGCAATCAGTCTGGAAATAGAATTATTGTGGATGATGATGATCTTAACGCAGTCCTAGGGAGACTTGAGAAGAGCAGTAATAGCCAAATTATGGAAGCATAAGTGAACTTAACTACTCCAATTGCTGCATTAGTGAACTTAACTACTCCAATTGCTGAAAATTTGGATGGCCTCTTTTGGGAAGATTCACCTAATAGAGATTCGTTACATTCTAAGAGGGATAGGAGTGACTTGGATACTGAAAATCAGTCTGCAAAATCCAAGTCAGATGTAGAAATTTGAATAGAAAGAATACGTATAATTGATTAGGATGTAGCATGAGAAAAAAAAAAATTTATTTCAGAGTAAATTCACATTAGAATATAATAATAATTAAAATTTTAATATTTGAGTTGGACGTACTGAGATATTTTTTGGGTTTAAATAGAATGGTCGAAGAGATTTTGAGCTTGTTACATGGGTTGAACCAGCCTAATGTAGGCCCATTCTGTGTCATACAAAATAAGGTTTCGACCAACGTAATCCAATCTCTTAGTATTTCTTTTTGGAGGGTGTTGTTCGGTTTATAAGGTTCACCGACAATTTAAACAGTTTATTTTGTAGAACCTTTCTTATATATCATTCACACACAAAATTTGTTCAATCTAATAATCGTAATTTGTTCACATTATCGTATTTGTCACAAAAAAATAAAAATAAATAAATGATCTATTTTTTAAAATATACTTGCGATCCATTTTGTTGTAGAAATACGATATACTGAACAAACTACGATTATCGGATCGAATTAATTTTGTGTGTGCGTGGATGTTTGTTACACACAAAATGTCCTACAAATTAACAGTTCGAATGAATAAAAAAGACCTATGGCGGGCAAATAACACCCTTTAGTCCAAGATATAGACTAGAAAGTAGCTAGACCTTTCTTTTTTGAACAAATGCATTAAGATCCAATTGACCTAAATTGGTATAATAATTATAATGATAGCCTTGTTTATAGTTCCTTAATTAAGTTCATTTAATTAACTAGATTAGTTCTATTGACTATTCATATATATTTTCAGTAGAGAGACTAAGCATGGTGAGAGGATGGTGGTGGTAGAGAAAGGTGTAAGAGGAGCTAATTTAAGCCCACTAAATTATTTAGGCCCAATAGCCCAAGATTAGTGGGCCCGAATTTATCGCAAGTCCAAGATTGGTGGGCTTGGATTTATCGCCGTCAAACGGGCTGAATGGCTCTAAGCCTCGAAAGGGTTCGGATCCACAAACCTAGAGACTTACTCGGGCCCGGACTCGAAAGGGTATTAAGCAAGCCTAGAGATCCGAGGCACTCGGACTCGAAAGGGTTCGGATCCACGAACCTAGAGACTTACTCGGGCCCGGACTCGAAAGGATAATAATGAAAACGAATCTGTTTCAGTTTCATTTGACAACTTAATATTTTAGTTTAAAAATAAAATAATCACTAAAAAAAATTAAGAAGTCAACAATTTAAATTAAAAAGTCAAAAATTCTCTTTTTTCTCTACTTTTTGTTTATCTTTTCGTAAAAAATCAAAAAGTCATTTCAAGCATATTAATTTTTGGATAAAGTATCAATAAATTTGAAAATGTAATCTTGTGAATTGTTTTATTTTTTCTTATGAACCTAAAGATCTCATTAAAGTGAAAATTACACAAACGGGTATTTACTTACATGCGTGGGTTTAATTTTTTATGGATAAAAGTGAGTTTCTCCAAATATAAAATTACACATTTAGGCAATTCGCACTATAGAGGTTTTGAATTTTCCTCCATTCATTATAAACAAAAATGTAATACTCTAATGTAATGCTTCAATAATGTAACACTCCAATATAATATACTAAAAATCTCTTTGGTGCATTCTTTGGGATGATTGGGGATCATTGGTTAGGTGTGGCTAAGAAGAAGGGTTCGCCGAGGGATTGATCTCCTCTTCGGGGTTTTCTCATCCTCGGAGAAGTCACCTCCTCGGAGAGGTCACCTCCTCGGACAAGGTGGTTAGAGAAAATATCCCCCATGTGCCTTGCACATGGGCTCCATCCTACATCATGAGGTGCCTATAAATAGCACCCACCCATAGCTTTACAAGGGAGGGATTTTGGAGATTTTTGAATTCTTGGGAAAGAACTAATTTCCCTTCTCCATTATCAACCTTGAGAGTGAAAGTGGGAGATCAATGGGAGAGCCTTGCCATTATTCTATTCTCTAGCCATTTTGCCTTCTTCTTCACCCAATCTCTTATCTCCATCATCTCCTTTGTTGTTGTGTTCCTAAGTTGAGATTATTGAAGAATCTAAGCCTCTCATCATATTCTAGAGAATTCGAAGTTGTTCTTCAAGGATCTTCGAAGATCTTCGAATTTTCTAACTCTTTTCTTGAAGCCTCTCCTACATTTTGGCGACTCTGCTGGGGAGGCGGATTGGTTAATGGTCTCAACGAGATCTGGAATCCACAAAACTCCAACAAGGATGACGGGAGAAGATGAAGTTCACCAACAAGGATCCTCTAATGGTGGTGATGACAGAACCATGGCTCCAGAGCAACCACTTTTGCTTGAAGCCATTCAAGGACTTCAAAATACTCAGCAAGAGATTCTTACCACTCTTCAGAATCTCACTCACACCATGTTGGTGATGAGTTCTAACTTTGCACCGGCGCCAAATGGAAATCAAACTGGTGGTGGAGTTATTCCTGCCGGAGCGCAAAATCAAATCCAATGAGAAGTAGGCCCTAATCAGCCTATGGCTCATGGCAACACGGCCACAGTAACACATGCTCAAACCACAGTAGGCGGCAGCAGTTTGCCCATGCCCGGGCTCCATGGCGTGCCAAGCCATGATCCAATGGTGACTAGGGGAGTTTCTGGTGTAATGAATGGCGCTCCAGCGACTGTTGGTGTCCAGGAAAACATAAGGAGCATGATGGCGCAAAAGGGAGCTCTACCCGTACCTAATCTTGTCACGGCACCAGTAAATGTTACCCAAGCATCAAGCGGGCCTCCTTTGGTGCCGACAACAAATCTGCCAGCACAACCCGGTATAGCGGCGCTGTACGGTGGACTTTACGGGCCTCAATTCAATATTCCATCACCAACTGGCTTGTCTATAGGCGCTGATGGCCAGTATCGTCAAATGTCCTCACCAATGATGAATTCGCAGCACCAGAATGGCCAAGACGCCCCTAGCTCAGTTTTCGGGTACATAAGCCAAGTCCCGGGAATACCACCATCAAACTCTCTCCTTCAACAGTTTCTCACTCTCGCCGATGTGCAGGCCATGTTCGATCTCGAACGGGGCAAGAGGACCTTACCCTCTTTGCCTGATC